CCAATCCTTCCCTATCCGATTCTGTTGCATCTCACCCAGTCCGTGCATCTATCCAGCGTTTCATGAGTCTCTGGGTGACGTCCTCTATCCTCCTCCATCTCCCTCCTAAGCCAGTCCCTCCTCCAGGAGCTTTGATGGCTCAGGCCACCTTTTCTTTTTCTTTCTTTCTTGTTTTCTTAAGAGATAGGGTCTCATCTGTCACCCAGGCTGGAGTGTAGTGGCACAATCATGGCTCACTGCAACATCAACCTCGTGGGCTCAAGTGATCCTCCCACCTCAGCCTCCTGAGTAGCTGGGATTATACGCATATGCCACCATGCATAGCTCAATTTTTAAATGTTTTTTTGTAGACATGGGGTCTTGCTATGTTGCCCAGGCTGGTCTCAAACTCCCAGGCTCAAGCAATCCTCTTGCCTCGGTTTCCCAAAGTGCTGGGATTATAGGCGTGAGCCACCACGCCTGACCCAGCAAACATTTTCTGTAAAAGGCATAGGGAAGGGCAGGTCTTTGCTCCTGAGACCTGCCTCCTATGGCTGGAGGTTATCTTTTTTGGGCAAAGCAGACCAAGACACAGAATAGCTGAATCCCACTTGGGGCCTGTCCATTTCAATGCCCTCTAGGACAGCATCACCTGCCCTCCTGTGAACACAGCTTATCTCTGCGCCTGTCTACGGGGCCTGTCCATTTCAGATGCCCTCCAGGACAGCAGTGCCCGCCCTCCTGGGAACACAGCCTATCTTTGCGCCTGTCTAGTTAGCAAGGCTTGCCCTTCACAGCTCAGGAAAAATTACCAAGAATGTTATTGACTCTAATTTTAATTTGTCTAGCACTCTTGTTAATGATGTCTATTTAAGACATCCATTAAAGGCCCCCGAGGTTAATTAAATGGACAATTCCAATACGGTTCTATTAGAACCCATTCTATTAAATTAATATTATAGACATTTAACAGATGTCTTAATTAGACATTATAGCTAAGAAATGCAAACTAAATTAAAGCTAAAGGCATTGTCCAGAAAGCAAGTTTGTTTTTTTTTTTTTTTTTTTTTTACAGAATTTATGGCTTTGTGGAGGGATGTTTCTGTTTACTCTTCGGAACCTGGGAGATAGTCATTTGATGATCTTTACCAGCCTCCAGGAAACGTTGGCCTGAGAGTCCCAAGTCTGAAATCACAGTCCAGACCTCAGAACTGGAAGAGACTTTACACACCATCTGGAGCCCAGCATCCTCAAACATCAGTGATCAGCTGGGGTCTCAGGTAAACATACAGCTATCTGGGTCCTGCCTCTGGAGGCTGATTCAGTAGGTCTGAGGTGCAGCCCAGGATCTGGCTGCTCTGAACGTGCACCCACTAACTCTGATGTGGAACGTTCCAGGATGCCATTCCAGGAATGCTGGGTCTAGTCTAATGGCCCCACTTGACAGATGGCAGCACCAAGATCCCTAAGACTTCAGAACTGCATGAATGGATCAGCAGAACTCCACCTCCTGCCCCACGGATTAGGGCTTTTCCAGCATCTCTGCCATCTCTCCACTCCTGGCAGCCATATACCCGTTCTGGCCTCTCCTCCTGCCTGCCTGAGCCTGGGGGCAGACCCTTGCAGGCTTCCCCTGCCTTCCTGGATCCTCCATGATGCTTCTGCGGACTCCCGCCCGGAGCCTTGGTGTGAATACACTCTTCACACCCACAGCTGCCCAGAGCCGGAGTCCCTGCTCCAGGGAGACTTCTCTGCCCATCCTGCTCACCTGTGCATGCATTTCCTCCCCCATCCAGACTGTGCCTGGCCCCAGCAGGAGGAGGAGTTCAGCTGTTTGCAAAAATGAAGGGGCACTGGGCAGCCCTGGGTACTGGAGGCAGCAGCCCTGGACCCAAGTTCCTGTATGAGCATGTCACAGAATCCAGTGGTGATGGCAGCTCAGGGGCCAGCAGTGAGGGTGGCTGGACTGGCTAGTGGTCCAAGCAGCCCATATGAGGGGACGAGAAGGCCAGGCCAGTGTCTGAGGATGGGAGCCAGGTGACTGTTGGAGACTTTCTGGGAGGCACAACCAGTCTGTCCTGGCTGGGACAGCTTCGGGGTGGCAGTGGACTGACTTGGGTCTCCAAATTCATATGACAAAGCCCTTGCCCTCAGTGTGACTGTCTGGAGACAGAGACTTTCAGGGGGTCATAAGAATAGTGGCCTAATCCAATAGGACTGGCATCCTTCTACAAAGGAAAGACTCCAGGGATCACTCTCCTTGCACACAGGGAGGAAAGGCTGTGTGAGGACAAGTAAGAAGGGAGAGGCCTCCCCAGAAACCAACCCTGCCAGCACCTTGATCTTTGGCTTCCAGCCTCCAGAGCTGTGAGAAAATGCTGCAGCTCCAGTGTGTGGCATTTTGTGATGGAGATTAGAGCAGACGGATACATCAGCCATGGCCCACACTGCCCTTTCTCCTCCAAGAACCTCATCCTTTACCCCGAGGCTCTGGCCTATCCTCTGCAGACCGTGTGTGGCAGCTGGGCACTGGGGAGAGGTAAAGGGCCCCTGGGCCCCACTCTTTGAACCGTGGGTCGCTGGGCTGATGTCTCCCAGTCCTGCAGCCTCTGGGTCCTGTCCTGAGTTGCTAACCATTCTCTCTCTCCTCTTTGGCACTTTCTCTGGTGCACGGAAGCTTACACGAAGAGAATGTGGCTCTATCTCCCACGAGACCACATGACCAAGGCCTCAGCTCTGCCAGGGTCCTGCTCCTTGGACAGTGGACATGGGAGAGATCGGGCCAAAAAGTACCACATCACCCTCCATGACAAGCTGTGCCGCAGTCTATGGTGACATGGCAGCCCTGGCCCCTGCCCCTGCCCCTGGGCCTCAGGTCATGCTTTCTGCAGCTGTTCCTCATCAGGAACCATGTCCTGCCAGGCTGGGCCCTCCCCTTTCCCTCCTCTACCTGGGAGATGACATGGCCCCTGGGTAGACCATGGGGACAACAGTGTGTCCTAGAAACAGGCAGGCACAGCGGCAGCTTTGTGGCCGGCGAGCACCTTCGACACGTCTCCTTGGGGGAGAGGGAGTGATATCTACAAATTAAACAGCCACTCACACAGAAACTTGAGTCTGCGCCAAATGAAAAACAGATTTCACATGGCAAGCAGTACCAACAACTTTTCTGGAAAGCAACTGTGTATTTACACAACAGTGGACGTCTTTTACATTGCAGAGGGGCGGGTAAGAGCGGGATGGCTAGAAAGCTACAGCACCTATTCGGTTATGAACGCTGCACTTTCAGATGGCTGGGGGAATAGATGCCACTTCCCACTCAAGACAGGGATTTGCTCAGAGGGAAAGCAGGTAATAAAGGCAGCACATCCTGCACTTTAGAACCGCATCCGTCTCATCCTGCAGCCACCCTGTAGCTGAAAGCACAGTTCTGGAGCCCCAACTATTAGGTCCAAATCTCAATTTTGCCCTTGAGTCAGCGAGGCCATGGGCAAGGGGTCCCTTGAATTCTGTCTTCCTGTGGTAGACGAGGACGGCCACACCACAAGGCAGTCGCTGGGCCGGGTCCCGTGTCCCTAGCCCGTGCGTGTGTGCATCACTGGCAGCGGTGACTGCGTGCTGCTTGGGGGAGAGCACTTGAGCCGCCTCAGAACACCCTGGTGAGCAGCGGACACTTGCACCAATGGAAGCACGACCGAGGCATTAGGTTGGTCCCTGTGAGACTCTGGGTGCACTGTGAGCCTTGGGGAGGGGCAGCGGCAGAGACCTGGGCCTTTCTGCTCTCCTGGCACACAGCAGAGAGCGTTCCCACTTCCCTTCTCCACCGCGGTGTCTCTCTGGTGTGGTCTGGGTGGAAGGCACCAGGAACGCAAAGCCCCAGCACTGCTGCTTCTCCTGGGGGAGAACAGATTTGTGGCCTGCCTTTCGCCAGGAGGGCTCCTGGCCTTGCCTTGTTGATCGGCAGATACTTGCTCCTCAAAGGGAAGGGCTAGTTGGTCCTTCTGAGCCATGTTTCCAACCCATCTGGTAGGCTGGTCCCCTGGCCCGCTCTCACTGCAGCCCTGGGCCCGCTGTTCCTCTGGCCCTGCATGGAAGGGCCTGCCTGACCCACTGGCTTTACAGACACACCGTCAGAGCGCCACAGTCAGACCGAAAAGCCAAATCTTTCAGCAGCAAAAATGGCGAAGACATCAAAGGGCATCAATGCTGCTGGCGTGGCTTTTGCAGGTCTGACCTTGGGAGGTGATGCTGGGCGACCTCCTTTCAGTCCTACGGCTCAGCCTGGCAGCTCAGGAGCGGGCATGCTGTGGCAGGTCCCATCTCACTACGCTGGGGCGACCGTGTATGGGCACAGCTGCACACAGTGCTCTGCTCCTGGGGTCCACCCCAGCTGCAATTCCTGAAGTGAATAAGCCCTAAGTCACTTAGCAACTCACCCTTCAATCCTCTTCAACCTTCCTGAAATAGCAAAGTAAACCCTAGGTAGGTCAGAGTTCCACCCAAAGGCGCACCTCTGTAGACACCTGCCATCCAATGGACCTTTGGGGCCCCCCTTCCCTTTCAACCTGGCTGGACTGCAGCAATACCTCCTTTATTTGATCCCTGGTTATGTCCACATGTGGACTGTATCATCACAGAGGCAGCTGATTCACCACAGAGCACTCAGAACACATGGAAAAGTATTTTTTATTTAAAGTATTTTTATTTATTTTTTTATTTTTATTTTTTTTTTTTTTTTTTGAGACGGAGTCTGGCTCTGTCGCCCAGGCTGGAGTGCAGTGGCCGGATCTCAGCTCACTGCAAGCTCCGCCTCCCGGGTTTACGCCATTCTCCTGCCTCAGCCTCCCGAGTAGCTGGGACCACAGGCGCCGCCACCACGCCCGGCTAGTTTTTTGTATTTTTTAGTAGAGACGGGGCTTCACCGTGTTAGCCAGGATGGTCTCGATCTCCTGACCTTGTGATCCGCCCGTCTCGGCCTCCCAAAGTGCTGGGATTACAGGCTTGAGCCACCGCGCCCGGCCGGAAAAGTATTTTTTAAAATCGAGTGATACTAGTCAAGTCAACCAGCGTTAACCCTGGTGTGCTTCCTGCCAGTCTGTTCCTTTCCATGGGAGTCACACAAAATGAAGATCTCCTAGGAAGAGAAATTCCTCTGTCCCCTGACTTCTTCACTCGGTACACCGCGACCTTCCCATATTGTTGAGCATCCTCAACTCAGAACGTCACTGGCTGGAGGTGGTCTATAAACAGAATTGGCTTAACCGTCTCTTCACTGAAAGGTTGGCATTTAGGAGTGTCCAGTTTTCAGCTGTCATAGACAACTGCGTTAGATGGCAAAGAATTCACAGGTCAATCGTTCCCTTCGCTTTGAACTTCTTCGCAGACCGTTCACTTGACCGAAGCTGGAATTTGCTCCCGTAAATGTAGGAAATAAAGCCATCGATTTCCACAGTGAACACGCAGTTTAGCTTGGGGATAACTGGGGGGAAAAAAAAAAAAGGGGGCGGGAGAAAAAAGATGAGGAAAAAACCTTGGCAGTAAATATTCATTTATTTATTTATTAATATTTTACTTTTAGGTAGAATATTATTCGGAACACATTGAATGAAAAAAATAAGCTAATAGGAAATGGAAAACCCACAAGGGGGGAGGCATTAGGGTTACATGTGGTTATTCTGCCATAGGTCAATCTAGTCACATGCTAAATGTAACTTGGCACCTAATCTTCAGGGTAAAAGGCTATACACCAAATTCCCAGAACCAGAAAGTCCCAGAACACCCGCCAGAAACTGGTTTTCCCACATTAACTTTCAGATGGGCTCCTGGCCTTGTGCTCTGTGGGGAAACTCTTACACCACTTTCTGAGGTTTACAATGTGAGGCAGAAGGATATGTAGGAAAATGAGGGAAGCAACAAGAAAAACCAAGCTCAAAAATTAAAGGAAGAAGGCTGGATGCAGTGGCTCATGCCTATAATCCCAGCACTTTAGGAGGCTGAGGCAGGCGGATCACTTGAGTTCAGGAGTTTGAGACCAGCCTGTCCAACACAGTGAAACCCTGCCCCTACTAAAAATACAAAAATTAGCCGGGTGTGGTGGCGTGTGCCTGTAATCCCAGCTACTTGGGAGGCCGAGACAGGAGAATCCCTTGAATCCGGGAGCGGAGGCTGCAGTGAGTTGAGATTGTGACACTGCACTCCAGCCTGGGTGAAAGAGCGAGACTGTCTCTAAATAAATAAATAAATAAATAAATAAAGATAAAAAAATTAAAGGAACAAAACCCTCTAACTACAGTTTGCTATCTCTGGATTTGTGAGCAAGGTGGGGTGTAGAAATCCTGGGAGACCCAAAGTATCTGCTAGAGCAATGCTGGCCACCGATGGAACCCAAGTGTTATCACCAAGGACACAGCTCAGAACTTCAGGGACAGGCGCCGCTCCTGTTTCTACCCTGCTGCCTGTTTGGCTACATTCCTCTGGGAGCAGCAGCCTTGGGGCAAGTGGAGGCCCTCTCCTGGCGCCCAAACAGACCCAGGTCCCCTGAGGCACGGCCAAGATCTTTCCTCCGCTTGGCCAGAAAGCTTGGCCATTTCTGGCCGGGGCTGCTGGCTGCACTGACACACGCCTCTTGGGGGAGCCACGGGAGCAGAGCGTGGTCTCTGCAGGCTTTAATGCAGGTTCACTAAGTATCTGCAATCTGCGCTCAAACCAAACTCTTGGAGCCTCGAGGAAAAGGCTAACGCAGTAGCTGGAAGCCACAGCTCACAAGCAACGCCCTCGGAAACTCCTACATACCTTTCAGGCGGTCTTCTTTGGTGATAATTTTGAAAATGTGCTTTGTTTCCTGTAGAAGGATTCCTGTAATACCCACATAAGAGGGGCATTTGGATTTTGTCACTGTGAAGAAAAAGGACAGTTCCAGGCTCAGGCCTCTGTGGTGCTAGGGGAAACACAGACAAGCAGGCCTCAGGGGTCGGGGGTGCTGGTCCCACCCTCTGAGCTAGCAGACGAAGGAAGAGAGCACCCAGGGGGTGGGGGCTCAACAGCTGGGCACTGACGTAGCCAATGAGAACCCAGGCTTCCCCTGGGGCTTTGCAGTCTCTGGACTGTTCCTATGAGGTGTCCTTTGGCCGGTCTGTGGCCACAGGGGTCTTGGGCAGGATTCTGGAGTCAAAGGTCACACACGTGCCCAGCACCATCAGGACCCGGGCTGGCTGCTCTGATGCAGCCAGGACTCCCTTGCAGGATCTGCACAAACACCACCATGCACTGCCCAGGATGCTGGCTGGAACGTGAGTCCTGCTGCAGAGCTGCCCAGCAGCCAGCACTGCGAGACGAGCCACCAGCACAAGCAGCAGCCCCTCCCTCGTCCTGACCCGAGCCTCAGTGTAGCTGACAGAGTCACCAAGCAGCTGCAGGATGCCTGCACCGTCCTCGGGAGATGCCAGGGACATAGCGTGGAAAGAGGCAGTCCCGGATCCTGCTCTCACCGAGCCCAGGTTCTAGCAAGGCAGGGTCATGCATGGTGAACCACACCATTCTACTTTCTGACAGCGACGAGTGCTATGAAGAGTAGGGACAGGGCAACGAGTGTGGAGGGTCATGGTTTGCAATGGTAGACCCTCAGGGGAGTGGCATTGGAGCAGGGCTGAACAATCGGAAGTCGGTCTGTGCACACACAGAACTCCCCGGCAGAGGTAAGGGGCAGAGGCGAAGCCCTGAGGCAGGGCAGGAGGAAGGCAGTGTGGGAGGCCTGCTGCCCCAGGGAGCGGGGAGGCCTTAGACCACAGCAAGGAGGCAGGTTTACTCCCATACGATGGGACGCTGCCAGAAGACTTGAAGCACGGAAGGAACGTGCTCTGATTTCTATATAACCGGCACTCCGGCTGCCTGGTGCGGGGAGGAGCTGTGTCTGAGGTAATCTGGGGAATGACAGTGGCTGAATTTAGGTAGTAGGATGTTCCGAAGGATTAGAGGAGGGGATTAGGAAAGAAGAAACATAGACACTATTTCGGTTTTTGGCCTGAACAACCAGCGTAAATAACTGAGTAATTAACTGAGATGGAAAAGAGCAGGAGGGGTTGCTGTGAGAACTGGGGATAGCTTTGGCTATGTAAAGTCTGAGATGCCCCCTGAACATCCAGGTGGCTGTGTCAAGTGGGCAGCTGGATGCCTGAGCCTGGAGTTCAGGGGACGGGCCTACGCTGGAGACGTCACCTTGGGGGCTGTCAGGTGTAGCTGACATTTGAAACCATAGCATTGGATGAAAGGGATTCTGTGTTCACGATTCCAGGCCATGGGTGAGTGCCCACAGCTACTGTGCCCTTTAGGGTACCTACAGGGGTCCTTGTGTGGAGAAGGTACACGGAGACCACTTAGGGTGTGTCCAGCAAAGGGCCAGACTGGCTAAGACAGCCAGTGAGAAGCATCTCCCACCCTAAGTGTGGGGACGATGGTGACCGGGGGCCATCTCAGGGAATCCACACCGTAAGGAGTGTGTCCAACAGAACACATGCCCTGGGTCTCCACAGAGTGACAGTGTGGACCTCCGGATGGCCATGTGCTACACGCTCTTAGGTAAATTACCTGAAATAATAGCCCCGTGAAGATCTGCCTTTAACAGCTTGGCCTGAATCATCTGTGGCTGCCTGCAAGGTAAACAGAAGCCCTTGATTCACATCATGATAAAAAGTTCCAAAAGAAGCAACTAGGTCTTCAACCGCAGCCAGGCAATACCGACGCTGGCTCCTGAAGCTGCATTTACAACGATCAGAGACTTGAGATTCACCCCAAAGAGCGAAGCTTCAGGAATGCAACTTACGTGTCTGGCTTTAGTCCATTGCACAGGTCCCTGATGTACTGTTTCCAGAGTTCATGGAGAGGGAGGAAAAGACTGTATCTATGGCAAAGTCAGAAACGGAAAAAGTTAGACAACATGAGCTTGGGATGACAATGTCCAAATAGCACAGAGCTTGGCTTGATGCCAACAACTGCGGCCTGGGATCATTAGGAACTACGTGCAAATCCTAGGATGAGCAATTGAGCTGGTAACAGAGACCAAGAACCTTCACCTCTCTAACTTCAGTTTCCTCATTGGTAGGACCACACCAGCCCAGAGCGGTGTCCACTTGGACTTCTTTTCATGAGAGAGAAATAAACGTGAGTCTTGTTGAAGCTACTGTTATTGTGAGGTTTTCTGTTACGTGAAATTGAACCTAGTAAGCCCCCAATAAAGCAGGGGTTGCTGGTTGTCACGCAGGTCCTCATGTGAGGCAGCAGGCTGGTCTGGAAGGTGGGCAAGCAAGTGGTGGGGAGAAGAAGAGAGGAGCAGGGGTGAGGACCCCAACAGCTTTCCTCTGGGCCATTATCTCCAGTCTTGATGCCTTGTGGGGAATCCGTTACCATGAAGCCTTAGGTTAGAGAAATGAGGACCTTAAGCTCAAACCCAACTCGGGTTCCACCCGGGAGGCAAACCCTGGGAGGCAGCAGCCCCTTCTCCACCTGAGGCCCAGCTGATCTCCTGAGTGGGGCCGGGGACAGCGTGGCATACTTTAAGCGTCTTCTGGAGTGTGGGAGGCTATTTGGCTGTCGATCTCCAAGCAAAAGCCTACAGACAGCCCCAGGACACGCACACTCAGACCCGTCGCCAAGGAGGGATGGAGGGTTGGCTGGAGGAAGACATCCTCCCACAGGACAGGACAGTGATGCATTCCTTTGGGAAACCTCTGAAACGTGTGGGCAACATCTTGCTTTGGCAATGAAACCCCAGTGGGTGACTGTCTGGCGCTATTAAAAGAAGGGATACACACTAAAAACATATCAGTTCCTCTTTTCTGTCTAACAAAGCCGAGGGACAAACAGCCTGTTGCCATGGGCAACAGATGTACTTGGACGGGTCTTACTCGTGAAGGTGAGGAGAGAGGCCAGACAATGAGTCCTGTCTCACCCGCCTCGCTGAACACAGCCCAGATTGGTAAAGGAAGGCTGCCCTCTTGTGGCAGACAACAGAGAGGCGCCCTTAGCTTAGGTGGAGCCAGGCTGCCTCCTCCCCAGCGACTCAGTCAAGTCCACACACCCAGAAGGGTAAGCACCGCAGGCAGAAAGAAGTGGGGAGCTCAGGTTACCTCTGCTGCTCTGGTTTAATATAAAAGAGCCGCAGCTCCCTCCTTTGCCTGGCAGAGAGGCCTTTGGCTTTCTTCTTCTTCTCCTTGCGCTTGTGGCGGGTGAAGTACTCCAGAACCACGGCCTTGCGCTGCAACTGGTCCTCGCGGGCCTGCGGGCTCATGCCGGGTGTGCTGCGCTTCAGGAAGGCCCTCACGAAGGCCTCGGCCCGCTGTGCTCCTGGAGGCTGCAGGCGGACAAGGGGGTGGAGTGCTCACTGCTCTGGTCTGGGCAGCCCAGGATCCCAGGCATCCCGCCCGCAGCTACTGGGAGAGCAGATGGGGCCCATCCCTCTAACCACTGAGGCTCACACCCCGCTCATCTGCCATGCGTCTGCTACCCACAGTTGCTGAGATGTAAGTCACACTCACACACAAATTCATGACCGTTTGTCACACACAACAGCATGTCAAACGCTCACTTCCTGCTCTGGCCCTGCTTTTCTGAGGTTATTCTGATGAGGACCAAAACCTTTCTAACTGGAAGAATACTTCAACCATTCTTGGCAGAAGAGAGAGCTTGAGAAATATGTAACAAAGATATTCAACCAGGCATGACCAGATGAAACTAAGTGAGCTCAGAGTAGCACTAAGCTATGGAGGAACTGATCCTAACACTACAGAAAACAGCAAAACTAGGGCTCCAGGGTCAGCCAAGCCTCAGGGGGTAGACACCCTGACACTGTGCCCTTAGGACCATACTCCTTAACTGGGTTTCCAGCAATGTGGGCATGGTGTGGCTACTCTCCAAGAGGTCTGCTCCTGCCCCGCAGACCATCACTTGGAGGAAGGTACCGTCAAGAGCATCTCAGGCCCCAGACTCTCTCTCTCCAAAGGGCGTCACTGAGAGCCGGGCGTCAACTTACCATGAATGAGCGTAGGCTCTTAGAAAGGACTTTTGAAAAAATGACTGTCATAATTGTGTGCAATTTCCAAACAAACAAACAAACAAACAAGCAAAAACCTCCAAGCTCACTATCTCTCAAGTTGGAGTTCCAATAATGGATTCCTCATTTGGTGGCAGATGCCACTGCCCTCGCGCCTGCCACAGCCCTGGGCAGTTCTCTCTCCTGAGGGCCTGTCTCCTGGCTGGGCTGTTTCCTGAGCTTTTTGCACTAGCCAGGTGCTAAATGCTAAGACTGAGGCTGACAGACTGATGCTGATCTGTCATTAGTAACCCAGCCCTCCCTCTGTGGGAGAGCAATGGGGATGGGAAGATAGGGTACACATAGCCTTCGAGGGAGCTCACGGTATGATGGTAGGAACTCTGTCTGCTTCAGTTTTGCACCTGTAGATGCTAACTAAAAATTAATTCACTCTCATCATTGTGACTATAATAGGACAATAATCTGATTCTCTTAAATACCTGAGTGGCTCGTCTTTCATGGAGAAGCAAAATAAAGGTATACTGGTCTTTCAAAATCTTGCTTTCAAGGTAATGCTCTCACTATGAGCCACAAGAGGAACTTTTGCGAAACTGACAAAGCAGGCCTAGGCATCCAGATATAATCTGTAAATTTCACTTATGATATGTAATTGCACACCTTCTGCAGAAGTGCAGAGGGCGCAGTGACAAGGTTGAACGATGCTGCTCACCACATGGGCACAGCCTGGTGTCCCCAACACAGTGGGAATGATAAAAGGTTAAGAAAAGCCTCATTTTACCAAACTTGACTTTGGCACAACAGAAAAGGAGGCTGGCAAGTGGGAACAGGTCATCAGAACTACAGACTTTGATCCAGCCTTAGATGTCTGCCAGAAAAATGAGGAGTACAATGTGGGTAACGACATCTCAACCAGTGACAGGGGCTCAGAAGCTACTGAACCATCTTTGCCATCACCTCTGTTGCTCCTGGACCTCCTGCCAAGAACTGACCTGGACATCAGAGTCTTTCGCCTCTTTCTGAGACAATGCATGGTAGATCACACCTAGGGGATTAAAAACAAGAAATGATCAATTCTTGTTGGGTATGGCTGTAAGATCCAAGACTTCTCTAACTATGAAAATAATTACACCGCTGGATGCATGGCTCACACCTGTAGTCCTAGCACTTTGGGAGGCCAAGGCGGGTGGATCACCCAAGGTCAGGAGTTCGAGACCGGCTTGGCCAATGTGGTGAAACCCCGTCTCTACTAAAAATACAAAAATTAGCCGGAGGTGGTGGCTCACACCTGTATTCCCAGCGACATGGGAGATTGAGGCAAAAGAATCGCTGGAACCTGGGAGGTGGAGGCTGCAATGAGCCGAGATCGTGCCATTGCACTGGCCTGGGTGACAGAGACTCTGTCTCAAAAAAAAAAAAAAAAAAAAAAAAGTAAAAGAACTACACTTATAACATATGCTTATTCATATTCAGAGATAGGAGATCAGGTTGGTATGAAGAGCAAAGCTTTCTTGGATGCCTCTTATCCCACCCTCTGGCCACATCTATGCTAGAAGTTTCAAGCTCATGGTTTAAAAAGAGTGCTTCTCAAAATTTAACGTGTGGAAAAATCTCTGGGATCTTACTAAAATGCAGATTATTGGCCTCCTACCCTAGATCCTGAGTGTCTAACATATTCCCAGATGCTACTGCAGGTCAGTGGATCACATTTTGAGTTGCACTGGTTTAAAACATCCCAAGTTAGAAGCCTGAGCCCTTGCTAACGAGGTAACTCATTTAAAAGTTATATGATATAGCTGTTTAGGATGTAGATGGTTAGAAATAGGTTTTGTTAAAGGTAAGATGTTTAAAAAGATTCTTCACATTTTAATATGAAATTATAATGTATCATATAATCAAGGGTGTCCTGAACTGATAAAATACAACAGTTCTTCCTTTAAACTCAAAATATACATCAGTCAATAAAGTTTCAACCTCTAAAACAAATTCCACACTTCTGTTTCTTAATTTATTGAAAGAAGAAAACCATGGCACTGGGGACACAGTACAGGTGTGAATGGAGTAAGAATGGGACTACTAAGGCCTGATTTATGAGCTAAATAGCTAGAAAATGTAATTTACACTATACTCTGTAAATTTAATTCCAGCTTTCTTGTACTTCCCTGAGAATGTCTGATGCAAGGTGGTTACAAGTTTTTTGTTGTTCTTGTTTGTTTTGATACTGGGTCTTGCTCTGTTGCCCAGGCTGGAGTGCACTGGCACAATCATAGCTCACTGCAACTTCGACTTCCTGGTTTCAAGTGATTCTCCCACCTCAGTCTCCTGAGTAGCTGGAACTACACCCTGGCTTTTTTTTTTTTTTTCTTTCCAGTTTTTGTAGAGATGGGGTCTCACTATGTTGTTGCCCAAGCTGGTCTTCAACTCTTGACCTCCCTGCCTCAGCCTCCCAAAGTGCTGGGACTATAGTCATGTCCCACCACACCCAGCCAGGTATGTTTGTTTGATCAAGCAAACCAACGTGGCTGCAAGTTTTATATACAGCATCTAGTTCTCCGTCAAGTGGAAGTTGGGGATTATAAACTGTAGAGAGCAACTTGAGGGGCCTGATAACTTTGCTTCACCTGTTACAGGTGCTTAGTGACAGACTTGGAAGTCTTTCTGCAACAATACACATCTAACAATTACTGAACACTCATTACTTGCCAGAAACTTCATTACAAGTTAGACATATTTTTTCCCATCACACTTGTGCCCATGAGCAAATTGAAACTCCGACATGCTGAGACAACCTACTTGATCATGCTGAACGATGCTGCTCACCACATGGGCACAGCCTGGTGTCCCCAACACAGTGGGAATGATAGGCACCGAAGCTGGGACGGCAGGCTTAGGCTCTAGTGCCGTGTCTGCTGCTAACTAGCTGTTTAACCTCGCTTAGGTCACTCCCCATCTCTTAGGTAGAAAGTGGCGGAGGTGAAAAATCAAAATTCTGATCGAAGGCCCCGTCTTAACGGTGACTACACGCCCCTCCTTGGCACATGTCTTCTACCCCTAAGTCCCAAAGCTCTGGGTTAGTGATATCATTCCCTAGCAGCTCTCGGCGCGTTGCATCAGATAAGAGTGCGAAACCAGCTCGCAGAAAGGAGCAGGGTCTTGACTGCGGTCACCCCGGGAGGTAGTGGCCAAGTTGGACCAAGGCCTGGAACCCTCCTCTAGCATCGCACACCACTGAGCAGCCCCCGGGAGAACCTGCCTCCAGCCCTGGCATCCCTCCCTAGCTCAGAGGGCGAGCCAGGCTAACCTGTGTTCCAGCCCTGTTTTTATGTAGGGTGGGCCCATTCCTGTAGCGGTTCTTTAGGACTCCGCAGCGACAGGCAGCCCGGACCCATTTCACCCACAAGCACCAGGACCCCGACCCTTAACATCCCCAACCCTCTCTAACTTCGTGGCACCGCTTACTCTTCATTCTCGGACCGCTTCCGGCGCGCTCTGATGACGCACTGGCAGTTGCTGTCGCAGACTCTCGGATATCGGAGATGGCGCTGTGTGTGACATCACCGACACTCGCCCACCTCGGGGGCGCATGCGCTGGGATAGGGATTGGGCGACTGAGAGCGTGTTAGCGTGTGTCGGGGAGCAGTGGGGAGGCGTGAGTCGCTTCTTGGGGCCTTTTCCGCTTGCATCTTTTTGCGGGACAGTCAGTAGGGTTGGGGTAAAGGCATGTGGAATGCTTTTGAAGGTCCAGAGTGGAGCGAGGCGACTTGGAGAGGACTCGAAGGTTGGGGACCTAGGAGGGCGGAAATGGGACCGGGACGGTGGGATGACGTCTTTGTCGTCCCTAATTAGCGCTCTTACGGATGAGCCGCGGCAACTTTCGCTGTGGGCATGGGCACCGAAGCTGGGACGGCAGGCTTAGGTTCTAGTGCCGTGTCTGCTGCTGACTAGCTGTTTAACCTCGCTTAGGTCACTTCCCATCTCTTAAGCCTCACTTGCAGTCTGTGCTGTGAGTGGGGTCGGCCGCGCAGGATGATGCGCCTCCTGGGTCCCTTTGATGGTTTCAAGACGCTTTCTTGAGACTAAGAATATTAGTTTTTATCAATAAAAAATCATAGCAATAAGATCAAAGGTGGCTTACACCGTGGGAGGCGCAGGCGGGAGGAGCTCTTGAACCCAGGAGTTCGAGACCAGCCTGGGCAACATCGGGAGACCCCCATCTCTACAAAACATTTTAAAAAAAGATTATCCAGGCGTGGTGGCTCGTGTCTGTAGTCCCAACTACTCGGGTATCTGAGATGGGAATATCACTTGGGCCCAAGAAGTTCAGGGCTACAGTGAGCCTGGATCACGCCACTCCAGCCTGGGCAACAGAGTGAGACTCTGTCTCCAAAAAATAAATAAGTAAAAAAGATACCCCATTGCTCAGTGGAAAGGTGCAGGAGGGCCTGGTGCAGACTTCTCAGGAGTGACCCAGTGCTGGGCAGAACCGTGGTGCCCCAATTTCTGCTGAGCACTGGGCCTGTGCTGGGTGGGAGAGAAAAGCAAAATGGCCCCTGTGTGGTTCTCAACTTTGAGTACAGTATACATTTCTTTACAGGGGATTCTGGGAGTATGTCCAAGGGTTTGAGTTTGAGAAACATTGGCTTACAGTTTCTTTGGTGGTTACCTTGTACCATTTTGATTTTAAACATGAGACTGCAGGCACTGAAATTCGTTCATCCCAGTGACCCCCAGCGCATTGACTTTATATATATAAAATTTACGTATTAGTTTTTGCATATGTAATACACTTATGCATTTATTTTATATGTATAAAATTGAGAAATACAACATTTAAACCAAAACATGCTGCCTTTGCAGATGTCTGAAAATTGTAATTTATGGGACCGATAACATGAACTACCAAATGAGAACTTCTATTATTTTAAAAATTAACAAGTAAGAATTGTATGTATTTATGGTGTGCAGTATGTTTTGAAATGTGTATACATTGTGTAATGGCGAAATGAGCTAAGAGCAATGCTAATACACTCATTTTGTGATGATAACACTTCAAACCTACTCTCAGTGAAATTCAGGTTATTAACTGTAATTCACTGTTATTAACTGTAGTCACCATGTTATACAATAGAGCCCTTCACAGATGTGAACTTTAAAATCGAATGAGACAGCAGAAGGTGTTAGCCAATTTCAGAGCTGTATATTCAAGGGGGGGTCTTTTTGGGCAAGACCTCTGTGATTATGGAGATGAATGAGAAGACCTCTGTCTTTGAAAGTTTTTTTCTGGGGTTATTAGGACTCTTAACTCCCAGTTGATTCCTTCTGGGATCCCTGAGTAACTGCCAGTCTCCCCTAGAATTCCCTGATGGTGGTGAGGTGGGTTGTCCTTGAGTTGCAATTACTCCATAGTTCCTTCATCACTAAATTTTTTTTGAGACCGAGTCTTGCTCTCATCCAGGCTGGAGTGCAATGGCATGATCTCGGCTCACTGCAACCTCTGCCTCCCGGGTTGAAGTGATTCTCGTGCCTCAGCCTCCTAAGTAGCTGGGATTACAGGCACACACCACCATGCCCAGCTAATTTTTGTATTTTAAGTAGAGACGGGGTTTTACCATATTGGTCAGGTTGGTCTCGAACTCCTGACCTCATGATCCACCCGCCTCGGCCTCTGAAAGTGCTGGGATTACAGGGGTGAGCCACCGTGCCCGGCCTAAATATTTTTTAAAAAGCAAACAAACCACTTGATTATCCTCAGAAAATAATTGTTTATGTATGTAGAGAGAGACCTGTGAGGATGTTTGTGATTGCTGTTTATACTAGCAAAAATTTAAAAACAATGCTATATTTGATCATAGTAGATCAAGCAAATTAACCGTGTGCTAACTAATTAGGTAATTAGGTATGCTAATTGATGCATTATTAAATGCATTAATTTACCTGATTAGTTAGTACACATTTAATTTGCTTGATCCACTGATCACATACAGGCTCACAATCACAGGATAAACTTTCATTTCAAATTTCTTGGTATCATACCTGGAGATTCGTTTTTAGCAGGTGGGTCTCAATAATCTGTTTTTATAAGGTGGGTCCCAGTAATCTGTTTTTATAAAGTGTTCCTAGGTATGGTACATTTGTTACAGTAGATAGGTAGTCAGGTATGAGCAGGGCAGGAGAAGGCTCCCTGCTACACACACCAGGAGTGGTGGGCCACCATCAGGTGATGGTCAGGTAGTGGTTAACTGTTTGTCTAAAGTAATTGGCCACAGCTGGCGCTAGGGAAAAGGCAGGTGCCTAATAGATAGAAAACACCTGAAACCGATCAGCAGCTTCCCTGTAAGATTTCAGGGGTGGGGAGAAGTAATGCAAGATCCTGGAAGCAGGCCAACGTATAAAACCCCAAGTCAAGAGGTCAGGCTGTGTAATCCCAGCACTTTGGGAGGCTGAGGTGGGTGGATCACGAGGTCAGGAGATCGAGACCATCCTGGCTAACATGGTGAAACCCCGTCTCTACTAAAAATACAAAAAACTAGCCGGGTGAGGTGGCGGGCGCCTGTAGTCCCAGCTACTCGGGAGGCTGAGGCAGGAGAATGGTGTGAACCCGGGAAGTGGAGCTTGCAGTGAGCTGAGATCCGGCCACTGCACTCCAGCCTGGGCGACAGAGCAAGACTCCGTCTCAAAAAAAACCAAAAAAACAAAAAAATAAGAGAAACCAAGGCTGCGCTCTTGGTTTCTCAAATTGCCTGCTTGTTTGTCCTTCCAAGTTGTATAATAATTTCCTTACTGTTCTAAAGCTTTTTTTTTTTTTTTTGAGACGGAGTCTCGCTCTGTCTGCCTGGCTGGAGTGCAGTGGCACGGTCTTGGCTCACTGCAACCTCTGCCTCCCGGTTCAAGCGATCCTCCTGCCTCAGCCTCCCAAGTAGCTGGGATTACAGACACACGCCACCATACCCACCTAATTTTTGTATTTTTAGTAGAGATGAGGTTTCACCGTGTTGGTCAGGCTGGTCTCGAATTCCTGACCTCATGATGCGCCCGCCCTGGCCTCCCAAAGTGCTGAGATTATAGGCGTGAACCTCCGTGGCCGGCCTAAAGCTTTTTAATAAACTTCCACTCCTGCTCTGAAACTTGCCTTGGTCTCTTTTTCTGCTTTATGCCCCTCACTTGAATTCTTTCCTTTGACAAGGCAAAAATTGAAGTTGCTGCAAACACGTACGGATTTGTCTCCAGTTACTTGGGGTAACTCGGTTCTCTGCCACTGATAACGCATTTCTATAACATGATGGAATACCATGCAGCCTTTAAACAAATTACATGCAATTTAAAAAAAGGTTACAAACTAATAAAGCCAGATATATACACAATAGTTACAAAGACATGAATATACTAAAAGATTTTATAACTGAATAAGTGAAGTTATGGGAGATTTTTCCTTTTGTTTCTCTTTTCTAAATTGCATTTGGTGAAAACAAGACTTTATTTTCTTTTTTATATCTATAAATGATAAACTTTCAAACATGGATACACATGTGTTTTCCCAATAGTGGCTTTGTGAAAGTTCCACAAGAAGTCAAGGTTTAATGGAATCATTGCAGGTGACTCCCCTCCCACCTCCAGCAATTTATTATGAAAAACTTCAAATATACAGAAAAATGGAAACATTTCAACAATGAACACCCATATGCCCTTTGATTCTACAATTCACACTTTGTTGTATTTGCACAGGTTTCTTTTGATTGTTGCTCTGAGATATTCAGGCTGCTATTCTCAGTACTCAAGAAAAATCTCATATGTAAGCTCAAAAAGATTAAGCTTCAACTATTAAATAAGTGGGTATCCATGAAAATTAGGACTTTTGTAAATAAACACAATGAAACTTACAGAAACCATTTATCTAATAGCGTCTGACAATATAGTGGAGGAGTATTTTTCCTGTATCCCCTTTCCTCCACTTTTGGATTAATGAAAAACATTTCTAGTGTATTTTTTTTTGAGCCCAAGTCTCGCTCTGTCGCCCAGGCTGGAGTGCAGTGGTGCGATCTTGGCTCATTGCAGCCTCTGCCTCCTAGGTTCAAGGGATTCTTCTGCCTCAGCCTCCTGAATAGCTGGGATTACAGACACTCGCCACCACGCCCGGCTGTAATTTTGCTATTAGAGACAGGGTTTCACCATGTCGGCTAGGCTCGTCTCCAACTCCTGACCTCAAGTCATCCGCCCGCCTCGGCTTCCCAAAATGCTGGGATTACAGCCCTGAGCCACCTGTAATACCTCCAGTAGTATTT